TTTTAAAATTTATACATATATATATATATATATATATATATATATATATATATATATATATATATATATATATATATATAACCATTTACATATATATGTTTTGGTTACAAACTTGTCTTCTACATCAAAAGTATACATATATAGTTTACGAAACTCTACTCCATTTGTATCCTGTTGAGCAAATGGTAAAATATTGTCAAATGCATATCTAAAGATTTCACATCGTTTTTCATAGCTATCCCAGTCTTAGGGGATGATCATTTATACAAACATTTTCAACACAAAAACACGTAAACTCGTTGAACAAATTTAGTGAGTTTTGTCTTCACAGTACCTTATAAAGTACACATGAAAGTCCTGTTAAATATAACCAGAGTCTCTTGTAGGGAGAGCGTGATAGTTGTGTATAGATCTATACTAGGACTGACAATCCCGTACCTTAGCTGCTTGCAACAGCTGGACCGGTAGGTCTTGGGGTGACAAATGTCATAACGAAATCGAAATCTGAAGAACTTCGCGAACAAGGCAGTCTGGGCCAATCAAGCATGGTTATAAGATAAAAATGAAAACTCACATAAAACAACAACAACACTTTTAGTTTACGCAAAGACAGTCTTCAAGCAGTTTTATATACAAACAAAATTGCATAACATCATTTTAAGTAGGAAAATTACTTATACGCTTCGGTCTTGGTTCATTTAAGGCCACATCTCATTTTAGGGAAAATATAGGATTTTTCCGAAAAACAAACATTACTAGATTTCATAGAAAAGGTTTACAAATATACATACAAATGCTTATGAACTCACCAACTTAAATGTTGAGACTCTCTTTTCAAATAACTTGTATTCTCAGGAAATCAGTAAATCAGGTAACAACTGGCTTTGAGGATGGGACACTTAGGCATCTAAACAAATATTTTGACAACATATTGTAATTGATATTTTGAAACATGTAATACGTACAAATGATGTAATTTTTTCAATTATATATATGTTGGTTGTGTTTGCTTTGAACATTTATACTCAACTGTTATGATACACTACATGATAGTCACCCGCCCCTGGATGTTTCCGCCATCCCGGTTTGGGGGTGTGACATGTTGGGTGTCAATTGGAGTCTTGAGCACAACCGAAACTTATTAACCATATAATGACATATATATATATATATATATATATATATATATATATATATATATATATATATATATATATGTATACAATTAGTGTTTATAACAACTAATTATTGAATTTGAACCACCTTAGGGACTAGTAAACACTTATATTGAAGTTTTGCAACCATATATGATTGCATATAAGGGTATATGGCCTTACAAGGGAGTGCATGGTCAAAATACACACTATTTGTGTGTGTGCGGCCGCGCACTCCTCATGAAGTGTGCCAAAACATAGTTTAAGGCCTTAGGATTCATCTAGGAAGGTTTCTTACTTCATGCTCCAGCCTTATATGGAGTTTATTGCTATTTTTGGACCTAAAAAGGGTGTATGCGGCCACTATGAAGGTGTGCGGCCGCACATCCTTTATGAAGATGATAAAATCAATTTTTTCAAGCATATCATCAAGTGTTCTTAGCATATAACAAGGTATAACAAGTATATACACATTATACAGGCTTGAAAAAGGTGATTAAGGTCCAAAGCTTAGTGTGTGTTCTTGGTGTTTTTGAAGATCTAACACCAAAAAGGTGTTTTCATGGATCAAATCAAAGGGGAAGGCTAGTTAAGATCATGTAATAGCAAATCAAGGGATGTATCACTTACTTGTTTGAAGATTGGAGTGAAAAGTTGGATGATACTTGAGAGGATTTCGAGTTCTAGCCTTGAAGAAGTGGGAAAAGTGTTCAAAATGACCAAGTATTGAATATATAGGTGGAAGTGTGTGGCTGGGATGGGTGTGCGGTCGCACACTCCATATGTTGGAGTGTTTGGCCCGAATTTGCTTGATATGCATCGAGTTATCCCATTTCTAGGCTCCTACCTTGATTGTACTAGGTTTAGAACATTCAAATAGATCCTAAACAGTGCTAACAGATGACAAAAGGAGTCTAACTTTGATTGAGTTGGCCTATTGTACATGATAGAAATTTCGGGTTGTCACAAGATCTGAATCACAATGATGTTTAGATGGATAAAGTTTACAATTTTATCCATAACAAGGTCCCAAACTTTGAAGATCTAAACTTTATGCACTAAAATGACCAAAAGCTCATAATATCCAAAACTAAATAGGTCTAACAAATGTATCATCAAGATTCAAACTTTATACCTCTAGAGGACAGTCAAGGTGAACAAGGTCTAGATCTATAAGCTCCAATGCAACCAACACTTCTTCAATGAGTTCCTTTTTCTCCAAGGTGCACCAAGAACACTCTAAATCACTTAAAAACATCTTCTTTTTGCTCATGAGTCTCAATCTAGGGTTAGGGTTACAAGAGAGGGTGTTGGAGAGGTGGAGGATGAGAATGGAATAGGGTTTGGGCACTGATTGTGTGCACCCAATGTACTCCTGGTATGCCCAGCTTACTCAGAATGCCCTAGTATGCCCTGCGTACGCCCCCGTACTCAGCTTAACCCAAAACTATCCAAACTTAAAACAGTCATAACTTCTTCGTTTCAACTCCAATTTTGACGATATTTACTATTGGATTATGTGTCTAAGCCCATAAATATATAATTGGTATGTATTTGACCCGATAGTACCATGGACCTTTTGGGTTGCCTTCACTATAGTAACTAGACAGAATGAGTTTTGGAGTAAAGAGGTTATTGATTTATTAATATATTATTAGAATAATATATTATCTGAGAACCATATTATTTAATTTGTATTGATCAGAAATTAATTTAATGATCAAAAGAGACTAATTAAAAGAGCGGAGACTGATTATGTAAATCAATGATAGTTGTAGTTTGGGCTAATGGACCCTATTGATATGGGGTGGACGAAAATCTATGGGAAGCCCATAGAGATTTCATCTAAGGCCTATCATATAGGTATATGTGTATTGCTTAAGGCCTAAGCAATGGAATTAGGTTTTCTAGTTGAAAATCTTAGTAGCCTCAACTATAAAAGGAACCCTCCAGCCTTCAGATTTCGGCAACTTGATTACCTAGAAGAAACCCTGGACGAAATCCTGTAGCCTTTACCTCTCTCTTGTTCATCCATTGCTAAGTTGTGTTTGTGACTCCATTAGAGGTGCAGCAATTGAGGCACTAAGCTCTTAAAGATGAAGATCGTGGAAAGGATTGCTTGTTACTACTAGTTAATAAGAAATATATTCTTCTAACCCTAGTTTAATTGTTAAATCCGAAAATTGTATGCTAGATTATGGTTCTTTCTTTGGAAAATTAATTTGCATGTATAACTTGAGAAAAACCTAGATCCAAAGCAAATAGGATTGCATGTGCACCATAGGAATGTTGTAACCCTTCATTGATATCAACATAAAGGTATTGAGGAGCTCTACAACCCTATCTAACTATTTTTGACCTAAAACACGTCGAATTAAAATCTAAAAGAAGTATGAAACTCTACTTTTCCATTTTACCCTTTGACTCCAAAGCACAAACCGAACTCGTGGATCACACAATCTATATTACCCACATTCAAATGGGTCTAAACCTCTCATTACCAAAGCCCAAAGCCTTATAATACTTGATCTTTAGGTGACGGCCCCGAATTATGAAACGAACTGAAACACGGTGTTACAACATGTATGGTATTTGAAACGTCTTCCTAGTTATATTGTGACTCTTTTGATAAACCTCTTAATGGAACACTTCTACTGTTCTACAAAAAAAATTAATTTTTTTTTTTTTGTATCTGCAAATATATATTAAAATAAACCCCAACTAGCAAGATGCTGAAGGAAAAAAGAGCCAAAGTTTATAGAAAGGAGGAATAAAAAATGATTATAGAGAAAGAAAGCTAAACAACACAAAACAATATATGTAGTCTCAAGGTTTTCTGTTATCTCGTGAGTTACTTCACTCACAATAAGAGATAAATATTCAAATCTGTCCATTTAATAGGGTAGTTTGAGCTCCTGTGTTTAATCCAAATAAACACCATAGATTGTATGTTGTCAGCTACCTTGGTAGGCAGTATCCTGATTTTTTTGAAAAATCTTTCGCACCTTGCTTTCCATAACCACCGTACTATGCCATAACATATGCTCACTAGTATTTTTCATTTCTTTGAATAGTGTCCCCATGATCTAGCAAATTTAAGGATATCCTCCACAGAGTCACATTGGAGGAAATTGATTTGACTCATCTCATAATCCATTCCCATACAATCTTTGCATATGGAAAACTAATAAGCATGTGTGACACCGTTTCTACGATATCAGAACAATGCCCACAATTAACCTCTACCAGTTGTACCCCTCTTTTTGTCAGGCCAATTGCAATGGGAATTCTCTCCATGTTTGCCCTCCATACGAAACATATCACCTCGATATGAATTTCGGGAATCCAGTCTATATTCTATATTTTTTGTGCTGATCGGATTTGGTTTTTTGTCCATATTATGCCTCATAGTGTCAACATGGAATTCGCCATCACGGGAAGTTGTTTGTTCGAAAATCACCTATCCAGGATGTGATGATCACTGCTAATTCCCTGATTTGATCTTCATTATTGAGGTTTGATTTTTTTTTTTTTTTTTTCTTTTCCCAGTCTTTCTAAATATTCCTTGATGCTGTCAATGTTTTTCCATGCCCCACATATCAACTTTTTGGCTACACAATCAGCTGATTCGTATTTTAGATTATGAATTCATTGTATGATACGATTCCACATGGAATTGGGTTCACTTCTATATCTCAACCATCATTTTGTGATTAACGAAATATGAAAACTTCTTAATGATCCCACCCGTGGATTTTGGTGCTATAATATTTTCTGAGGATACCCAATTGATCCTTAATGATAATATACGTTACAAATATTAAGTTTATGTTAAAGAGTACGTACCAATAACCCAAATACATTATGAAAACACTAGCTAGCCGGATAGCATAAATTAAATACAAGCCGACAATAAATGAAATGGAAAGATCTGAATACAGGTATCAAATGCTGGAAACAAAAGTAGTACACAAAATTCCCTTATTATAAGTTACACACAATCACACATATAAAACGTCTTCTAGTTTCTAAGAAAGGACCATGGACCTGTTCCTGTTCCCATCCTGCAAATAAATATAGAATCTTATCAATAAACCATTAAATTACAAGTTTAATTTTATGACTTATGTTATGATGAAGAACCAACACTATTTGGTTCGTGGTTCATGTTAATTCTTGTTTTGTGTCGTATATCAAGTGTCGTTGCTCACTAATTGCATGATGGAGGCGTATTTTTATCTTACGTTGTGAATTTGAGAAGAATAGATAACATGCATGGAATTGGCTATGATCAAAGTAAGGTTACGTACCTCCATATGCCTACAATCACACGTAAGCACATGAAAATGGATAGCGCAATCCATATTCCGACAAAACCAGCAACATTGTATAGAGCAAGCAATGATCCGATGCTTCCTACAGCCACAAGGATCTAACAAAAACAAATTTCCATCAACAAAAGGCCACATACATTCAATGCAGAAGGTTTTTACGCCATTCTTGAGTTGAAAATGCTAACCATGGAATATGCAGAATAAGCAAAATCGGATACACCAAAGTTAACTCCATCAAACACGAATGCAATCGAGTTGATTGGTTGTGTGCCAGCAACGAACTTTTTAGGAAAGAACATTGATATGAGACAAAGATAATCGTAATGCAAAATGAATTTGAAACAGTTTGTAATTTAAAAAAGATTGATCATAAATACCGGGACACCTATCGCAATGATGTGTTTAACATTTATATCTTTCGTAAACACCCCAGAACCAAATTGCAACCCGATTCCAACAAGAAGAGCCATTCCCAGACCCATCACGAATCCCAACTGTAGCCACAACATATCTAAGTGTTTTTTTTTACAAGTAATAAACTAAACAAAGAGCTTCTTATGATAAAAACAAAGACAACTATATATATCATCCTGGAATATAAAATGCGATAAACATACCTACACTAGAATATATATACCTGTAACACTCGAACTGCTGCTGCTGTTGCCTTCTCATAGTTCTTTTCAGCAAACGATGAAGCAATTATCGCCTACAACATTCCACGAAAAAAAAATATCGTTCATTACACGTATTAAAAGAGAAGTGCATCGTTTTAATATTCCTATTTTGCTACGAATAACAAATCGAACATTAGCGTATGATCTACCTGTCCAGCAACCGCTAAACCATCAGAAATAAGTGAAGATGTTAACCACACTTGTAAGCATATTTGAAATGCAGCCATAGTCGTTGCACCTAATCTTGCAGCTAATGATGCAGCTAAAGTCACACAAACTGTTGCTGCTATTACCTTAAACAACAAATAAAAACCTGCGAAGTGCGTACAAAACACCAGAAAGATGTTGAAAACTGATCAAGTTTTTGCTATTACAAATTACAAAGCAAAGGATCAAGTTTTCCTATTTATTTATATAGATATATAGTAGTAATCTATATATGTGTACCATTTTTAAGAAACCGACTGAATTGCAAAGCCTTAAGACTTGGAGGAAGTAGGTCAACTTGTTGCATGAGTTTAACTAACAATATGACTGCTATTAAGTACCTGAAAAATAATAGATATATAACATTTTAATTAGAAGTCCATTAGAGAATGTGAAGTTTCAAGGTTGAATGAGTAAAGACAAATATAAAGGACAAATCTCGAGGAAAATTACTGGGAAAGAACATGTGCAATCGCTGCACCACTAACTCCCAAATCGCATACAAAGATGAGAATCGGATCCAATATTATGTTTGCCACATCACCTACCACTAAAGAAGAAAAAGAAAATTTGTTGGAAACTAATTAAGCAACAAAAATAGTGTGTCATTAACCATAAAGAAAGGATAAAAGGGAAGTACCAGTGGCATATAAAGGAGTCTTAGTGTCCTTGAAACCACGGAAGATACCTTGCATAGCCAAAGAAAGAAGAACTGCTGGAGCTCCAAGTGAACGTAGAGTTAAATACTTATGTGCAGATAACAACATTGGAGAACCCTATTTTGATAGAGATGAAGTAGATCGATCGGTTTAATAATAATGATATCAAGAATACAAAAGATCAATTTATAGAATGCAGAAAGATACATACAGATTTCACACCCATCAAACTCAAAAATGGTTCTGCTAAAAGTACAAGAAATATCGTTTCAAGAAGACCGAGCGCTGCACCAAATAGCAGTGCAGTTGAAGCCGAAGGAATATTTCGCTTTTGGTTTTTAAGCTTCGACTTATTTGTAATGCTCCCAGTAACCGTTGTATGCTTGCCTTGACTTTCTTGGAAATCTAAACATACAAAAACAAGAAATCCATATCATTTATATATATACAAACTTAATTTTCTTTATGATGTATATCAAGATACGTAAATGTGTAATGATCGATATTCTTATATAGCTTAATCTAACATGTGACATATATATTGACATACCATCTTCTGTTTCCAACTCTTTTTTCTCGTCATTTTGTGTTGGACGACCCTTTTCCAAATTTTCGAGTTTGGGGTCATTATGGACGAATTCTTTTCCTTCCTTTTTAGATATTCTTTCAATAGTCTCTTCTTCAGCCACAAAGGAAGTGGTAATACTAACAAGTGGGAAGATGGCTACTTTTGATACTTGATTGAAAATGGAAATAGCTACTCCAACAGCAGCGATTTCAACTGGACCTATAGCAAACCATATATATAAATGATCTACAAAAATGATCCTATATATGCTTTATAGAGGAATTCTTTTAATAATAGAGTTCTTTGTATATAGATATATATATATATATATATATATATATATATATATATATATATATATATATATATATATATATATATATACCTATATGACCAATGAATGCCGTATCAATTAAGGAAGCTATTGGATCAGCAGCTAATGCCATGGCTGCAGGTGCAGCAATAAAAAGTATTTCCTTTCCGAGGGAGTCCAGCTTGAGGACAAGCCTAAAGAATCATATATACAAAATGACATTAACAACTCCATTAAATAAAGAAAGTGAATCTCCTTACAAGAGGAAGCTAGCTTGCGCCATGTGAAGTACCTAAGATCTTTGAAGAAAACAAAGATCGGATGTTTCAACTTTGTCTGTGTTGGAAGCACACCACCAACTTCGGCCATTGTAGAAGAATGGAATGTGAGATGGTGAACAGCAAGAAGACGTTTAAGTCTCAATACATAAGGTTAAGAACCTGTAAAATGCATACATGATTGTAGCATGTTAGGTATATGCTTGATAATGTAGCTACAGTTCGAATAACAGAATGGATGAATGTTAAAAACGATTTTGGTACTAATTACATGCACAAGAGTTTTTAAGGCTAAAAGGTTTCATGTAAAGAATTTAGAAAGAAATGAAGTGAAAGTTCGAACAAGTAAGCACAATTCATACATAAGGGACTGTTACAAGTTGGCCTCTATCATATTTTAATAAGAATGATAGCAATGTTCTTGACTAGCTTAATGAATGTAAACTGAATAGGACACTATATATAAGGACAAGTTATACATCAATTAAAGAGATGTAATAGCAGTATAAACCTCCCCCAGGACACTACTTGAAGACAGATTCTACATCAAATAAAAGAGTTATAATCGCACTATAAACCGTCCCTAGATAAGGAGTTATATAGTATCATGATATTTGTGTTGACTAGTAGTCTCAATTATGACGTGTATAAGTTGTAGGGAAAAATTATGTATCTCATCGTGCATGAGGCTTCCTTCAACTTTCCGCACATATAGGTCCACTTTCTCATTTGACTTGCTTAATACATTATGTAAAATAAAAAGAAGATGACTTGCTTAAGTTACGGTTAACTCTAGTAAAAAACTCATAAATACGGCACCAGATTCTAGGGCAATCAAAATACGATTTTTTTATTTTTAGTACGAGGTTAGCCACCAACTCAAATACAATCTTAAACTTATATTGTTACATGAGAGTAAAGGTGGAAATAATTTCATATGGTTATCATGCATGGAAATATAGAAGCAGCCTGGGATGACACATTCAAATGTCACTTCCATTTACCATTATTAATATGAACATAAATAATTGTATGATAACTTGCGATTCATATCCTCAATAGTTCACAACCTTTTGAGATTTTAACAATGGTCTCCCTCAAACAAGTGTACCCAACTCAATAAACTATCAGAGTACGCAAGCGAACAGTAATTCAGCTAATCACAGAAACAAATTAGACTACAGGCCATAGAAAAATCATTAAGATATATCACCTAGATAACACCTCACTCAAGTAATTCCCAACATTTATTTAATTTATACTCATGTAATCAACGAGAAACGTGTATCAGACAGTTTTATAAATCAAGCTACGAAATTAAAGGAACATAAACATCCAAAGTCGAAGGAACCCCACAAGCTTTCTTGAACTAACAAAAGTATAAACAACAATTCATATTCCCCGTAAGTATTGATCATTCCAAGTGTTGATCAGTACAAGGTCACCTAACTTACTCAAAGTGCAGGAGGTAATTATAGGATCTGGTCCTAGCTTCAATGCATATGAGATCCTAGCACAAGACCTCAGCCCTCATATATATATATATATATATATATATATATATATATATATATATATATATATATATATATATATATATATATATATATATATATATATATATATATATATATATATATATATATATATTAAAGTTGTAAAAATCGCTCGACGTTAACTAGTCGGTAGACTGGGGTTAAGAGATTAATCGGCTACGCGGAGATTAATCGGGGACCATTAATTGCTAACTTGAAAGATTTAAAAAAATTAAATATGACTAATATCATATAAAAGTTCGTAAATACCACTAATATCGTAGCAAAGTTGGTTAATATGATAAATACAACACTAATCATACCTCAAATAGTTGTGTTGAAATATAAGTTTTTCAAAATGTTAAAATTTCATTAGGTTCTACTGTTTCAGTCATTGTGTATGTAGGGATTAATCGCTAGACACCCTCCAATTGGTCAACTAACGCCTAAGGATTAATCGGAGATTAATCGGGATTTTTACAACAATGATATATATATATATATATATATATATATATATATATATATATATATATATATATATATATATATATATATATATATATATATATATATATATCCCTTGGTTGTAGGAATAGAGATTAATCGGCGATTAGTCGTGGATTAATCGCTTGGCGTTCTCCAACCGTCAATGATTAAGGTATTAATTGGAAATTTATGATTAATCGCGTTTGGCGGCATAAATCTGTCTTGGCGTTATTAATCGGTTAACAAAAGTAAAAAAAGTCGAAAAAAGGTAAAAAAAAATCCAAAATTCAAAAGATCAATTTTTTTTTACTCCAAAATATTCAAATTTTCAAAATTTCATATATTATACAAAAATGATCATTTTTCATATTTTCAAAATTTTAAATTATAAATTTTCTTATTTTCTAATTTTAAAATACTTGTTTTTCTTAAGATATATTAATATTTAATTAATTTTAATATTTTATTAATAATTTTATGGTCCCCAATTAATCCCTGCCAAAACCGATTAATCTCTTAACACATGTCCACCGTCGTAGCTACTATTGAACCATTTTTACAATATATATATATATATATATATATATATATATATATATATATATATATATATATATATATATATATATTCAAAACCATTATCAACAATAAACCAGAAACCAAGAAACCAATTGTGAGCGTCGGAAATAATAATAATCAACAACCAAGACAATGATTGTAGATTTATATATTGGACGTATATACATCGGATTATACGAAAAATACACAACTTCGTTTTGTTGTTTGTTTTCAATATTTTAGTTTATTTTTAAATAAAAAAACTAAATGCATGAAAAATCTGAATTTTTGTCCTCTATCAAAAACACCAGCATCGATAAAAAAACGAAAAAACACCATGATTTGTTCAGATTAACACTATGATTCTAAACTATAAATATTTCGGTTTTAACATTCAGAATGTAAATCTGATTTACTATTTTAACTCTTTGATAATTTACAAATTAAAATAGTAAAATTTATATATGAATCAAAATATAATTCATTTTACAGAATTCATAATGTGAATATGACTTACTATTATTCACACTCTGAATTTTAGGTGAATATAATTCAGTTTTCAACACATTCATAATGTGAAACTGAACAAATTCACAAAGTGAATCTGAACTGATGTTTCATTTTTTTTCATCAATATGAATATATATATTTAAAAAATACAAAACAAATATGAATTTTGATATATTTATTATTTTTTTTGATAAAAAATACACCTTAACTTTTCAATAAACAAAGAAAATGAAATGAGTTTTTTTTTTTGGAAAAAAAAATTATACATCAATATGGATCTCTATTGAAAATGGACGAAGAATCATGTAATAGTATGTATTGTTAGACTAATTTATATATTAGGTTTTTTTATTATTATTTAGCGTAACATTATCATATAATAGTAAATAATTTTTATTTTTATTTTGTAAGAATGTTGTAAAAAAAATTAACTTGTATCCAAAAAATTTGTTATTCTTCAAGAAGTTTATTCAATCAAAATATATATTCTGTCGAAAAAAGTATTCATGTATGGTTCAAGAATATTGTTATTTTTCAATATATCAATAAACATATTTTGTAAGAATGTCCGAATTAAAAGAATTATCATCCCTAAAATGCGATTTTTAAAATTAATAGAATCTTTTGTCTCTTAAAATTTGTAATGTTCATTTTTAATTGTTGTTTAATTGACTAAAATACCCTTACAATGAGATTTATGTGATTATTCTAATTTCTGTAATTTAATAATATATGTAAATCACTTTTTTTTTTTTTAAATAAGTAAAAGCATTAGTTCACATTCAACCTTACGTCTATACAATAGTCTAGCCTTATATATATATATATATATATATATATATATATATATATATATATATATATATATATATATATATATATATAGAGAGAGAGAGAGAGAGAGATAAGTTCAATTGAGAAAATAAAAAATGTTGAAAATGAAAGAATCATTCTCAACCAAGCATTTATTTTGCCGCAAAACCTCTGTCGTACCTGCGGAAATTGGAAAAGAATACACGTGTGTTTCCCAATAAATCATGTTTCCTTAAACTATGGAGTAAATTACACGAATGGTCCCTATGGTTTAGGGTAATTTGTACATTTGGTTCCTAACTTATTTTTTTAACTCGTAAGGTCCCTATTGCTTGTTTTTGTTACGCGCTTGATCCCTGTCTTACCTAAAACGACCATTTTGCCCTTGATTTTTTAATTTATATAAATAAACACACCCCTATTCCAACCCCCACCTTACCTTACATATCCTACCAATTTTTCCTATTTAAATAATAGTTTTTAGATAAGACAAGGACTAAGTGCATAATAAAAACAAACACTAAGGACCAAACGCATAACAAAAACAAACAGTAAGGACCTTCCGAGTTAAAAAAAATAAGTTAGCGACCAAGCATGCAAATTACCAAAAACAACATGAACCATTCGTGTAATTTACTCTAAACGATGCTAATCATTACCTTAATATATACAAAAACATAGTTTTTTTTTTTTTTTTCATTTTTTTAATTTAAAAAAAACCATTTTTATCGAAAAATGATTTTAAATATACCAAAATTCATGATTTTTTTTTACTCTCTACAAATAGACATCCATATTGATATAGTTTTAAGATAATATATATATATATATATATATATATATATATATATATATATATATAATTTTTCAGCTATCGTTATTCATAAATGAATAAAAATGCATCAGATTTTTAGTACAGCACATTCGTTATTCACTTATAAATAAAAATATGATTAATTTTTTTTAGATATTAGGTATCATTCATATATAAATATAACATATAATAAACTCTTTACTGTTTATATCAATTATCATCACATGTTATATTCATATATATGAATAAAACGTATATTGATTTTCCTTATAATTTATATTAATATACGAAGAACACATTTATTATAATTTTGTTACAGTTCATTTGTTATTCTCATATGGATAACTAATTCAAATTTACAAAACACTTTATCTTTTTTTTACACACTACTTATTTGTATATGAATAACAAATGAACTGTAACAAAAATCTTATAAATATTTTATTAGTATCTGAATATAACATATGACGATAACTAATACACGTTTTATTAATATATAAATATAACATGTGTTAAAAGATGACGTAAAAAAAATATTTTAGGTAAGAAAACTGTATAACGTGTTACATTCATATATAAACGATATACACGATACTTAAACTGTAAAAAGTTAAGT